CTTGGCAAAACAAAGAAAAAGAACCAAGAAAACTGGGTCCCACAAGACTCCTACCTAGAAAGACTGTTGGCCAAGTTGAAGAAGAAACTAATACTGAGCCAGTCCTGCACAGAGCAGCCATTTCATTCCCCAGACCCAATTTTTACCTCCAGAGATGCCCTCCCCCCCTCCCACTCCATATATAAAACCCCCACAGCCACCCCGGGAGGGCCAGCGTGCGGCCCTCAGTAGTCCTTGTCCCCATAGTCATTGTAGAGGACGCTCAGAGTCTGCTCCTCACACGTCTTCTTGAGGTCACGGCTGAGCTCTGACCAGTTGAGCCCGTAGGGCTTGATCTCGCTGTAACGGCAGGCCAGGTACTTGAGGGACGAGCGCTGCAGGCTGATCTTGGGCTCCCGCAGGAGCCCATTGCACCAGCTGCTCAGGTCCCCCAGCTGCGAGAGAATGAGGCCGGCTTTCCTGCAGAGAGGCAACGGGGTGGTGGGAAGGGGATGAGAAGAGCGGGAACAGAGAAAAGTAAAGTGGTTAGGGATGCCCGTGACTTTGTCCACATCCTGTTCTTCTTCTACTCTGCATCATACCCATGCAAGTTCAGCTTTGGTGAGGGTTTAATGCCCCTTGGGAAATGGAGCATAGAGGATGTCAGCGATTAAGCAAGCAGCATCACCTCCATTGCTGCAATGGAGAAGAGCAGCTGAGTTCTGAAAGATCTAGAGCACAAGTCTGATGAGGAACAGCAGAGGGAATGGGATGGGTCAGTGTGGAGAAGAGGAGCTCAGGGGGGACCTCATCACTTTCTCCAACTGCCTGAAAGGAGGCTGGGGTGAGGTGGGGTTTGGCCTCTGCTCCTGGGTAACAATGATAGAGTAAGAGGTGAGGGCCTTAACTTGCCACAGGGGAGGTAAAAAAAGCTTCTCATAAAAAGTGGTGAGGCACTGGAATTGGCAGCCAGGGAGGAGGTGGGGTCACCATCTATGGGGGGGTTCAAGAAATACATAGAAATGACACTAAGGGACATGGGTTAGGACCTTAACAAGCATGAGCTGATGGTTGGATTAGATGATCTTATTGGTCTTCCGAGTCCTTACTGATTCTGTGATATTGGACCCCAAATCACAGGGCAGGAAAGTGGGAGCAAACAGGCAGTGGGGAGAAATGCCATAAGTCACAAAGCATGACATGCCTGGACACCACACATACCCTTCCCCTGCACTGCACCTGGGAGCTGTGCTGCTCACTTGTGGCTCAGTGCAGGGCATCTCTAAGGAGATCTAGGAATTAGATGATCTTTGATCCCTTCCAATCCAAGCCATTCTATAACGGCTATATAGAATTCTATACCCATTCTATATATTCTATGCCATCCATGGGCATGGCATAGGCAATGTGCTGGGATTATCACTTCCCCCCCTGTCAAGTGCCTAAGAGGGATGAGATGGAGAAGAAATGCACAGTAGTAGGAACCAGCAGGCTGAGTGTGGAGAGTTAGGGGAAGAAAAGCATTCACAATTTCATGCTTGTTATCTGTATTAGTTTGGCTTGTGGGGGTCTGTTATGAGCCCCACAAGATGCAGTATCATAAAACGTAAGTACAATCAATGACATTCCTGATACATGACTTACAACGTTCATAATAATGGTTTAGGAAATGTGTCTCACAGGACAGCATGCTAGCTAGGACTATAGGACTATATTGAGGACTATATTGAGGCATACAACGTAAGTTCAATTCCAAAAAGCTCTGAAAGAAAATGGGATGTGGTGGCACCTCCCTCCCCCTCCACTTTTTTGGAATGCACATTTTGCATCTGCCAGTTGCAGAGAGCAAAATAAGCAGTAGCATTTGGTAAAGAGCCATCAGGCAACCCACGCTGTCTGTGCAGCCCAGCTAAAAAGCCAGGAGACAAGGTCAGGTGGTGGAAAGAGAGGGGAGGAATCCATGTGCAACAGAAGAGAGACATGCAGCACCCTTAGGGCAACACAGCTTTGGGGTGGGATTATCCTGGTAATGGGAAGTGCTGAATGTCCAACCTCTTGTGTTGGAAGAAGCAGTGGAGGAAGCCAAATACGAGCTAAACTATTTTCTCTTCTTTTCATGGTTTTCTTCTAGAAACTGCACTTCTAACACTCTTATCAAGAACAACATTTTGTCCAGATAAAAAACATTATGTTCATCTTAAACTTGTCTAGCACTTCCAGCAATCTCCAGGGAATCTGGCAAATGTGTAGGTAATGGATCTAAATAAAGTGTCTTGCAAGCCAGTATTACATGTGCCTGGAAACCCAGACGAAAATGGAAGCGATCCAAGGGCTGGAAGGAGTTTTCCAGCCAGCCTTAAGGTCAGTTGATGGGGTCAGGATAGAAGACATTCCATCGGTAGCTGTAACAGCATCCACACAGCATGGGGCAGGTCGCAGACACACAAATCATGATAGCAGGGTGAAAATAACCCTCTGTCACATTTTTGCTTGGATAAGCAAGAGTTGCTTGTAGAGCATACAGCTGTGTTGGTGCTGGCTTGACAGCTCAAGGGTACATGCAGGGAACATAGAAATACCCACAGCCACACCATACTTCCAGCCAGGGCAGAGCCACTTGGAAGAAGATGATGACCCTCGAGGCTGGGCTGGAGGGCAGCCTGAACTGGTGGAGGGCAACCAGCCCACGGCAGGGGTTGGAGCTCCATGATCCTTAAGGTCTCTTCCAACCTAAGCCAGTCTATGATTGATTCTATGAGCCCAGGCCCAGCCAAAGCTAACACTGGCTTTCCTGTAGCTGAAACCCTCCAGAGGTCCAGCCTGAAGAAGGGGTATGAGCGTTCCCCAAGCAGGCAGAGCCAGAAGACGGCACGACAGCATGGAGGTGGAAGAACATTGCAGAGCCAATCTCATGGGTTCAGATCCATGGCTTCAAAGGAGCATCGGCAGCATTCAAACAAACACTCTCTGCTGGCTAAATAACATCATCTGCAAGTGATTTGTCCTGTCACCACCAATCTGGCTGCTTTGCCCTTGCAGACAATCAAACAGGAGGCCTGCTTTCCAAGATTTGTCATCACCAGATCTGACTGCAGCTGCCTAAACGTCTTTCCAAGCAGGGCGAACTGCAAACAATTCATCAGCAGCTCATGTCATCCCATCCTGAGCATTTCCAGAGGGTGGAATTCACCCTTTGACATATAGATTCATGCAGCAAATGATAATGCTCGGATAATCCAGTGGCATTTCTTGTCATCCCATGCCAACCTCACTGCCACATGGGGCTGGAAGATGCAGCTTCCACCCCGTGCTGGGGTTCATTCGTTTCCTCACTGATGGCAATACTTGTGGCTACGTGACAAATCCAGATTCCCAAACTAAGGAATTTGATGCACTCATCACAAAAAAACCCACCACAACAGATGTCATGGTGCATGCAAACTGGGGATAGATTTTACACATGGCAGTGAGGACAGAGTTGCACCACCACAGCTGGGCTCAAAACAAAGGTGAGACATGAATCCAAGCCTGGTGGTCTCACAGTGCTGTGGGAATGAGGTGCTGGTGGAAACCTTAGCAAAGCTGAACTAGGAGAGGTGCCTAAGAGACCTTGCATGCAAGAGAACAATCAGATATTTGTTGAATTTTTTGACTCCCCTTAGGGAGAAATTATGAACCTTGATTTTATGAGGTTCAACAAACACAAGTGCAAGGTCTTGCACTGAGTCATGGCAACCCCCAAAACCAAGCTGGGGGATTTAAGGATGGAGCACAGCTGTGCTGAAAAGAACATGGGGGTACTGGTGAATGGCAGCTGTACATGAGCCAGCAATGCGTCCACAAAGCTCAGAAAGCCACCCAGATCCTGGGCTGCACCAAAAGCAGCGTGGCAAGCAGGGTGAAGGAAGTGATCCTGCCCATCTGCTCTGTGCTGGTGAGGCCTCACCTGGAGTGCTGCGTGCATATGTGAAGCCCTCAGTACAGAAATGATGTGGACCTATTGGAGCTCGTTCAGAAGAGGGCCACAAAAATGACCCAACGGATGGAACACCTCCCCTTTGAGGACAGGCTGAGAGCTAAGGCTGTGCAGTATGGGGAGGAGAAAGCTTCAGGGAGACCTGAGAGCAGCTTGTCAGTATCTAAAGGAGGGCTGTAAGAAAGGATGAGACAGATTCTTTAGCAGAGTCTGTAGTGACAGGACAAGGGAAGTGGTTTCAAACTGAAAGAGGGATGATTTAGGCTATAAGGAAGAATTATTTTTATAGTAAGAGCAGTGAGGCAGTGGCACAGGCTGCCCAGAAAGGTGGTGGTGCCCCATCCCTGCAGACAGCCAAGGTCAGGCTGGGTGGACTCTGAGCACTGAAGGAGCTGTGGGTGTCCCTGCTCAGTGCGGAGACTGGGACCAGATGGCCTTTTAGAGTCCCTTCCAACTCAAAAGATTCTGTGATTCTATGTGGAGGAAAGGGGATCTCTGTTCCTCTGCTAGAAATCTATAAGCGGTGATCTGGAGAAGCAGGGCTGGAAAACAGCAATACAGCAGAAAGAAGAGCTGTCCAGAGGAGGGCACTCAGAGGACTGTGCATTTTGTAGATAGGAACTGTTGCTGATGTACATTTGAAGTAATCCTGACTACTAGCCAGACTCAAGAGTCAGTTCTTTGGAGGCCAGATGCTACCAAACATCACTGCATCCCACATAACTTCACAGCCCAACTTGCTAAGCTTTCTGGAAAAACCCATATTACTAGGAAATTGCTCAAAGACAAGATGCTGGAGGAGACGGGAACATTTGTTTGACTCCACAGGCAGGGAGTGGGAGGGCATCTCTACACCCTGGAGCTGGATGGGCCAGAGCCACCTGAAGCAGCGCTGGTGGAGCTTAGCATGAAGGGACTAGGCTACCTGGTAGGGTGGCAGAGTATGATGGGCTGAGTGATTTTCCACCACCTAGTCCTACTACACTTATGACCTTCAAGGGAGATGGCCAAATCCTAAACCTACACACAGGACTGCTTTCTGAGCCTACCTGGGTCCCAGCTCGTCCTCACAGCGCCAGGTGAACTCCCCAAAGCTCTCGTAGTGCTGGTTGTAGTGGTAAAGAACACGGTGCAGGCTGGGGGAGCCAAGGTCCAGCAGGGTGTTGTAGGCTGTTTGCTGCTCCTTGCCACTGGTATAGCCATTGAAGAGGTTGTAGATCTTGTCTGCAATTTCTGGGCAGAAGAACAAGGGGTATTCAGTGGGGTGCAAAGAACAAAGTCCACCAGGATAATGCTCAGCTCTAGCGAAGCCAAGAGACAAATCCTCTGTGGCATTTACTGGAGCCAAGATTTGTCCCCTGGGGTATGATTAATGTCATATCAAGGCAGTGGAGGAACAACAGAGTAGATGTCATTCCCCAGGCTCAGCTGGACTAATCAATCCAGTTTAGGTTCTCATAGTTTGACCCAATTAGAAAGAGAAATGGTTGGTGACATCAGGTACTGTTAGTAAAATGCCATTTATCTAGAAGAAAGAACACAACTGGGATTTCTTCAGACACCACTTATGCTATCAGCTCCTTTCTGAGCAGGTCAAGCAAGATTTTCCTCAGCTATTTCTCCACCCATTCTCAACATGTCTTGAGTTCCTTCCCCTTCATCCATCTTCTCAGCAGCACAGAGTGCATCTGTGTTTGTCTGGGGTGAAGGAGGCATCGCAGCCAGGACAGGAGATACGTGCACAGACATAACAGTCAGGAGAGCTCCCTGTCACTGGTCCCAAGCATCACCCTGTGGACGCTCAATCCTATGCCCAGGCACAGGATACATATGTACCCTATGCATAGCTTTTCCAACCCACATCCAAATCCCCACCAAGCCTCCATGCCCATGAACAATGAGGCTGCTTTCCAATTGTGTAGGCACACATGAAGCCTCGGGTCAGCACAGGTCAGTGGCTCACCTTGAGCTTTGACATCATCCACCACAGGGCAGGGCGTCTTGACCGTCACATCACTGGACCTGGAGCGTCTCCCCGTGTTATCGACTCCCCAGAGGGTGAACCTGGCCAGAAGGACAGCAGTGAAGCTGCAGGTCCTGGGCCCTCACATGAAGTGAGGGAGGCTCACATGGAGGAGGTGACTCACATGTAGATGGTGTCGGGCTCCAGGCAGCGGATGATGAGGGAGATGGTGGAGGAGAGCCTGTCAGGCACCTGGGCTGGCATGGCACAGGGGGACTTGGCACCAGAGATGATGTCATCCACAAAGCTCAGCACCGTCTCTAGGGAGAGCAAAGAGGACATGCCACAGATGATGACACTGATGTCCCCAGGGCTATGCCCACCACCAAGCTGCAAAGGCAGAGCAAAGCTCACACATGAGTTTGGTGTGGAGACAAACCCACTGCTTTTCCCTGCCATCTGTGGGCCCCCTGCAAGGCTCACTGTCATGGCAAGGAGGGAGGGGCTACTTTCCTATGGGATAAGGAATAATTTGCAGCACTCCCTTGCAAACAGGGAGCTAGAGATTGTCCTCCAACATCTCCATCCCACCCTCCCTGCAGTGAGACCCACTCACCAGTCTCCACCTTGGAGTGGTCCATCCTGTCGGTCACTTTCTCCTGGCGGAGGAGGTAGTCGACGATCTGCACCCCGATGGGGGGCTCCGAGTGCCCCCACTCCAGCACTACCAGCGTGCTGCTGGGTTCATGCACAGTGGAGAGCCGCAGGCTGGAGAGCAATGCTTGCTGGTGAGCACCTTGAGAGGGCAAGGCCCACTGCCCCACAAACCTGCCCCACAAAGCCACCCTAGCCCCACCGCCCCCTATCACCACCCCATTGGCCATCGCCACCTCCTAGACCAACCATACTACGAGGCCAGACAGAGACCTACATGGGGTGTGGGAGAGGTGCACAAGTGGGCAGTCCATCAGCCCCAAAGGCACTTGAGTCGCAGCGACACCAGTCCTCGATGACATCCCCGCTGCCTGAGCACCACAGTGAGCTCATGGTGGCTTCCTGCAAGAGCTGGGAGTGAGGAGAAGCGGATAAGTTCAGTCTGGCATCCCACCATCAGAGCACGCACTTACGGTGGCGATAGGCTGATGGTTGGACTGGATGATCTCAGAATCACTAAGATTGGAAGAGATCACTATGATTCACCTGTTCCCTGCTGGGTGACACTGAAATGGTTCAGCATGGTCCATCCACCCTGGGGATGGGGTCAGCAAGAGCTGCCAAAACTTGATGTGATGCAAGCTGCCTACAAAGAGCTTTGTAATGCCATCCCACCACTCCCCAAGCTTCTCACCCGCTGCGTCTGGTTGTTGGTGACCAGCTCGTAGATGGGGGCTGCTTTGGTGACCTCAAGCAGAATGGGCTCTGCTGGTGCATCAGGGCTGGAGGTGACGTGGCAGAGGGGACAGGATGAGGGGCAGCGCCCGCGGCTCTGGCACTCCATTCGCACGCCTGCTGCCATGCGCTTGGTGCCTGACTCAGAGAGGCTGGCAATGTACTCGGGAAAGGTGAGCACTTTGGGGTCCCGCTCACGCTCCTCTGACTCATCTGATGGAGAATTGCCTGGGGGAGGGGAGAAAAGAGAATTGCCATGAAGAGGGAGGCAGGGATGGTCTCCATACCATTGCCAAGGGGATGCTCCTAGGAGAGAGAGTGTCCAGACCCACCCCTCCCCCCTGTAGGGATGAAATGCCCTCTGGTTTTGAGAGCAGAAATCAAGACTGGAAAGTGCACCCTGGCATCATCTGTGCCTTAGTTTCCCCAGCCCTTTGCCTGGCTGGTGATGGACCAATCCTTGCACTGGGTCCCCACGAGAGGGAGCCTCGTTCTTGCAGCTGGAGGCTCACGAAGGACCCATTTAGTCCCTCCCTCTAAATCAGCTTCATTTCTGATTTCTTTTCTCTGCTCCCTTGGTTCCCAAAAAGCCTCCGTCAAGGCCAGCAGCCCCCACTCACAGAGGCACAGGGAGCACATCCCTTTTAGCAGTTGCTTCATGCCTGCCTCCTTGCATTTGTCCCCAAGAATTAGGTGATTCTTAAGAGGATAGCAACGATGAGGACAAGGCAATAGGGTGGGAAGAACAAAAGGAGGCCGAGGGCATTGCCTGCTGCGGCTGTGGGACACTGCTGGCAGCACATCCACAGCTCTGTGGGAAGAACTTCCTATGGAAGGGTCTGCCAAGCCAATCTCTGAGACCCCTGCGAGGAAAACAGGGCTGTTAAACAAAGCCCTGGATGCAGGAGCACTGCTCAGCCACCCCAGCGAGTTGGAATTGGATCACTTTGGGCTGGCTGTGAATTGCAGCTTCACAGGCACAGAGGGAAAGCAGAGGAGCCAGAGAATGAGATGTCTCTTGCAATTTCTCAGTCGATATCCAGCTCCTGACGTTTGCAAACAAAAAGCAAAGGAGGGAAAGTGGCAGGTGCCAGAGCAAAACCAAAATGTGATGTTGTGGGTGGAAAGAGACTGCCAGACCTGAAAAGCTTCCAAGCAGGAAAATCAAAGAGGAGGAAATTGCAGGAGGGGAAAAAAAAAATAAAAATACCCCAAACAACAAGTACTCGCAATCAAAAGATGCTACATCTGGATCCAGCCCTCAGCAAAGCAGCAGTGGGGCTGGACACAGGTAGGCTTGGGAAGAAGCCCAGGCTCCAGGAGCCTGTAGCATCCATTCTCAGAAATGAGTGTTTTACACCCAACTGGTCCCCAGTGCCCCAGATTTCCAGTTCTCTCCTTGCCTGTGCTGGTTCTAAAGCAGGCTGCAGATGCTTGCTCCTCTATAGCAAAAGCAGAGCTGTGTTGGCATCCCCCAGCCCCCCACCCAGTTTTCCAGAACCTGGTGACCAGTACAGCACTGGTGTGCAGACAAAAAAAGTGAAAGTAAAGTGCTGACAACCCAAGAGAGGAGCACACATCAGCAGGAGGAAAGTCTGGCCCCGGGATGCGAGTGGAAAAGAGCAGATACGGAGGAGACAAAGGAAAGGAAAGAACAGGATTAAAGGCAAATAGCAGCTAAGTCCAGAATCAGACAGGACAGCTTGGTGGGATTAGCGCCTTCGTCTTTCATCTCCCCAGGGATGTGGGTATTTATTTTCCTTGCTGGCCGGGGCTGATGCTGGCTGCAGTCCATGAAGTCCTTGGACCAGCTTCAGTGAGTGGGAGCCGGGTGGAAATAGGAAAATGAGGTGGGACGCAGCTTTTGCAAAGACTGGGCACTGTGCCTGCTGTGCCAATGGCAAACCCAGCTCCTGCTCAGCCAGGGGTGGCTACGGGAATAGTCCTGGAGCTCCTACCTTTACTGATGTCCTCATACTCCAACCAGAGCTGCCGCTGGACCTGCCTGTTGGGGTACCAGATGGAGCAAGACTCCTCAAAGCCATACACGGCCTCTTGGATGTAGTGGTTGCCAAACTGGTCCAGCAGTGCCACAAAGTCCCTGCGAGAGGTGGCCCCATCCAGAGAGTGCAGTGCATTGCTGAAGGCTGGGGAGAAAACATGAGGGGATGCTCAAACCTCTGCAGATGCTCAAATCCCTGGGGATGCTCAGCCCTTGGATCCTCTACACATGCGATGTGCACCCAGCACCCCAGCAGCCACCACCCTGCATGTGGTGCATCCATTACTGCCTCTTCTTCCCACATGCTTACACTGGGAGATGGTCAGCTGGTTGAGCCGGACGTGGTACATCACAGACTGCACCTTCCAGTGCTGTAGCAGAGGGTATCCTGACACCTCACTGAAGTTCACCATCCCTGCCAAGAGAGAACATGACGCTCGGACATGGGGTAACCACAGCAGCCACAACACCTTGCACCATGACCAGGGTGAGACGATAAAAGGGGAAGGGCCAGCACAAATCATATCTCCACCATCAGCTGTTCCACATGCATTAACACTGCAACATAGAAGGAAAACCCATGGGCTCACTTCATCCTGCTGGCCAGAAAATACAGCAGAAGATAATGAGCCTCCTCCCACATCCCTCCTGCCTCCCCAGACATGCCCAGGTGTGCTAATTGCTTTGTTAATGAGAGCTGCACTTTTGAAATGAGCTGTTAGCAGGCCTAGTCACTATCACACCATGGTTGTGGCCAGCCCAGAGGCTCTGGGGACTGAGCTGGACACGTGTGCACAGGGAAACCACCTTCCTATGTCCTTTGGGGCATCATGGCAACGCTGGGGTTAGGCAAGACCTGAAACCTTTTGGAAATGGCCAGGATGAGAGTTGGGGTGGTCAACCCAGAGACAGACCCCACTCCTGAGAGCAGAGTGACTAAGAAGCCACCACGCCTGCAACAACGCCCCAGAAAACAAACTGAGGGTTTTGGTGGCCTTTATTTTGGTGGCCAGAGCATCCCGCAGTGTGCTGCAGAAGGATGCTGGGACTCAGCCATCTCCTCCCCAGCAGTGCCACAGCCACACATCCCACGTAGCAAACCTCTGCTCAGCAGGGAAGCAGTGAGTCCTGCTGCTAAACAGCCCCACAGCAGGAGTTCAGGAGGAAAACAATGTGCATTCACCCTCCTCAGCAAGAAAGGGAGGCAGAGGATAAGGAGGATGAGGTCCTCTGCCTTGCAGTGCTTCTTCCTTCAGTGCTGGCTGCTACAAACAGCTTCAAAGCATTGCTCTTCCCTGCAAAAGTGTTTATGCAAAAACAGCCCTTCCTTACTCAGCAGCTCTGCCTCTTGTGTATTCACAGCGATGCCCAGATCTGCCTACTGACAGCAGAGATTTCACTTCTTTTCCATTTTTTTTTCCCCACCTTCTTAATCAGCCACAAAGAGCCAGCAGAGCAGTGGGAAATGAATAGGATAATTTGCTGGCTTCTGCCTCTTTGGAATTATTGCCACTGAATTCCCCGGTCCCTTCACGATGCTGCGGCCGTGTTGGCATCACCTTAAGTCACATCTGTGATATCCTATGGGCATTGCCAAACAGAGCTAGGACCCCACCTCAGTCCTCATGGCCATAACACACTGACAGGACAAACCAAAACGTATTTGTGGTTTTGAATACCTCTTGACACCAGTGACTCTGATTTGGAAGCCTATCAAACTGTCAAAACTATTTGGAAAACATTTCTGCTTGGAATAAAAAAAAAGCCTTTTCGCAAATTCCCCAACTATCCGATGGACAATTGAGCTTTTACACCACACAATTAATTTGCAGCCTCTCCCTTGCAAATGGACAAGCTGGCAGAAGGCAGTGATGTTATAGGTTCCCCTTATTTGCTGTTGGCTGAAAGAGATATGGGAAATGCATCGCCTTCCCTTACAGCTGCTGATGCAGGTGGGCACTGGGTGCTGAAGCCAGGCTAAATGCATCTCATCTTTCAGCATCCCCCAAGAGGATGAGGGTATGGTTGAGCTCACTCACCAGTGAGGAATTCGGGGTCAGGTGTGGGGTCTGAGAGCTCCTCTTGGCACTGGTTTTCCAGGGGCACGGTGGCCACCACCAGTCCATCTGGCAACTGCTGCTCCAGGCCCCTGGCAAAGTTGTTCTGTCTGGAAGTACAGTGGGGAGAGAACAGGGCAGGGAACAAGGGCCAGTGATCCATCCCTAAAACTCTACCAAGCACCGTTCTCTTCCTCTGGTCATGACTTATGAAGGCCATTGTGGCTCTTGGTGGCCATCTTCAGATGAGCCCTTACCTGCAACCCATCCACCTCCTGCAAAGCTTGGCTAAATGTGGTTGGATCAAGGTCTTGGAGACCCAAGGGCTGCAGAGAGGATGGGAAAGGCTGACCCTACTGATGGTCATCCCTCCACATCTCCACTCACCTAAATGTCCCTTTGAGCACCTGCCCTGGGGCCACCTCCTTGGAGTGGTTGTTGTAGCCATAGAAGACCTCCCCAAAGAGCGTCTGGTTCATGGGCAGCTCACGGGGCTCACCACAGTCCACACCATCGGGGCACGACTCTGAGATGAGCTGGCATGATCGCCCATCTGTACCCAGCTTGTAGTCCTCAATGCACCTGAGAAGCCAGCAGCAGGGCGCACCATCAGCTGCAGCCCCTCCAGTGGGGATCAAGGCCACCCCAGCATGGAATGATGATGGGGTACTCACCCACAGAACATGAGGATGTTGTAGAGCAGAGGGTCGTCGGGCAGAGGCACCATCTGCTGCAGGCACAGCTGCTCACAGCCCCCATTGAAGCCATCAGAGCAATCAACACCAACATGGCGGTCATAGCAACCCGTGCCATCCTTCATTGGGCTCAGGCCCGTCGGGCACTGGCGAAGGGAAAAGAGAGAGGTGAGATGAGGGTGATGCTCTCAGAGGCCCCTTCATCAGAAAATAACGTTAGAGAAATATGAAAAGGTCACAACTTGCACCAAAACCAGCTCATACTGCAACAAATATTCATCCCAAGCTGGCCACGCACCACGCAGCCCGTTGAGTCCAACTTGCGATCTGCAATGCAGCGGAAGTTCTTGCTGCAGCCCCCATTGTCCCTGGAGCAGTCACGGACAGGGCCAAAGGAGTCAAGAAGAACCTCCAGGCTGTCGAAGGAGGAGGAGGTCATCAGCTCTTCCCTGTAGGGAGTAGGAGGTGTTTCACCACTCTGTTTGGTGCCAACAAGGTGTACCCAGCTCTCACCAGCCCCTATGTCCTTTGGGGTGCCCCTTTGCTCCATGGGCACACCACCAGAATATTTGCTAGTGAAACTATTCAACGGCCTTGCCTTCACCTTGCTCACACCTACCTGACCTCCACGGCGTCCTCCATCACTGTCATGTCGGTCTTGCACTTAGCTGAGGGGTTGATGGCCAACTCAGCCGGAGGAATGACAAAGCTCTTGCTCAGTGGCAGCCACATGCCTTCCCCCAGTGTGTAGGTGAACCTGTCAAGAGAGTGAGCACGTGGGGGAAACTCCAAACCCCATCAATGCAGGGATATCATGCCAGGGCTGAGCAGGGAGTGCTGTTGCTGAAACACAGCCCTCAAACCTCTCCCCTCCCTACAAAAGGAGCTAGGTTGGTCCCAAATCTATCCCCAGCTGGATACAGGCTTCTCGAGCACCTATCTGCCAGGAGCATGCTGCTGGGGAGCGTAGGGAGCAGGAAGGATAACAAGAGATTATTCATGTATTTATTCCTCCTCTCCAAGGTGTCCATGGCTGCTGCAGCTCCAGGGCTAGCAGGGGGAGGCAGCAGAGGCAGGTGCTCTGTGAGATGCATCAAGAAGGGACAAGTCTTCCAAATGCACCCAAAATGACCCCAAAAAGCAGCAGTAGGATCTTTCCAGCTCATATGCCCCCTAGGTGGTGGCACAGGGCACTAAGGTCAGCCAAGACACGGGGGACCACGTGCTGCACCTTCCCCAGAACTAGCACCAGTAACTGAAAGGGAGACCCAAGGATTGGTGGTGAAGCTGAAGGCAGACTTACCGAAAAATCTTATCTGATGGCTGCTCACCCAGCACCAAGTCGAAGCCGCGCTGAAATATGGTGTACGGCCAGGGCCTGGAAGAGAAACACAGGAGCATCATGCCAGCATCCCAAAATGCCTCCCCAGATTTGCACTGCAGCAAGTACCTGTGATGCACACACAAGGTGGTAAAATAGTTCCACGATTGTGGGAGAGCGGGGGATCTTTAGAATTTGGGTGTTCCTACACAGCTGGTGCATCCAGTGAACAGCATATCTCATCCTTTACTTTGAGGTACTGTAGACTCCAGTCCCCCCCTTTCCCACTGCTGCAGCATCCCTGAGCCTCACAGCCCTGCACCCTCAGGCACCACCCACCTATTCCCATCATGGGAATGTTAGCACATGTCTAGGGACAGCTGCACCCATGGCCAGGATGCTTTGGGATGTGCAGCCCACACAGCATGGCCCCATTTGAAGTGTATCCTTTGCAGAGCGTCTTCTATAGAGCATTCTTCGCAGAGCATTTCTTGCACAGGGTCATTTGCAGAGAGAATAGCAAATTGAAGACCAGCAATAAAATAAAAAGGAGTCCAGAGGAGTAACAGCCAGATCCAACCGAATCTTATTTGTAGAATGAGCTCAGAACTGGAGATTTTTCCATCCTGTCACCTTTAAAACATCCGCTGAGGGCACACATCCGCACGAGCAGCATGGCAAACACCTGGTGAGCCTGGGGATTTTCTCTGAAGGCAATTACAGCTCTCCTGCACAAGCACTTCAATTCCTAATCTGAAGTTATTTCAGCAAGGACACAAAAAAATCCTGATTGCGGGATTAGAGCACTGCTCATTTCCTGCCTGGGACACAATGGCACTTCTGTGACCAGGCACAGGATTACATCCAGCAGCAGAGCTCAGTGCCCTGGATAAGGTCTGTGTGGATGGGAAGCAGTGCTCTCTTTGCACCTTGCCAGATCCTTGAATGCTGCCCACAGCAGCATCCCACACTGCCACAGATGGGCTTTATTCTCTCTTCCCCACAGTGCACTGGGCTGGGAACAAAAGCAGAGGCAAGGTATTGTTCCTCATCAGCTTGGCTAGACAAATGGTCGTGAAGAGCCGTGCTGCACTTCCAGTGGTTCTCAGCCCACAGTAGTGATGCAGAGGCAGGGTGGCCAGCCCACGGATGCAAGAGCACAGTGCCATGTAGGTTAGGTACAGGGAAATCAGCACAAGGCCATTCAATAGCCCCTCAAGGGCACAATTTCCAACGATGCCTAAAAGTCAGGCAGTGATGGCTTTAAGCCAGAGCACTCCACCCAATGCATCTCTCCAGGAGCTCCATGTTGATTCTTCATCTCATGAAGCTGAAAGTTCCCTCCTTGCTGCCTTGTTACTCCTGCTGCTAAAGATGAGGACACATCCTTCCCATCACTGCCTCTTCCTCTGCGTGGTTTTGCTACTGTTTCATTCCATCTTCCTTCTCCTATGCATCACTGGCAGGCTCCTTGCTGCTCTGCTTGCAGGTGCTTGCGTTGCACAGTCTTCAGAGCTCACAAAGTGAACAGAGATAGATTAGAAGCAGTACTGTGTCTGATCAGACTGGGTTAAACAGGCCAGAAAGGACAGCTCTTGGCTCCTTTGGCAAGCCTTGGCAAGCAGGTAGGCATCTGAATCAACAAAATGGGGTTCGCTGGGCACAAGACCCAGCAAGCTCATCCAACAGCATCAGTAAGTTCCTGTAGACAAGCTCTACAATGGATCCCCAGCATGGGCATCTTTGCAAGATACATGGTGCTGAGCTGGTAGAAGGGAGAAAGGGGCTGAGCAGAAGATGTTGAAAAGTCACTGCACATGAGCATGGCTGCAATGCCACCAATTGGTGGTTAAGCACCGAAAATAGGCAACTTGACATCTGGTCCCTGAGCTGCTGGTGCTTTTAGTGACTCCCACCCAGACAGTGGCATGAGATTGCTGTGCTGAACCCCTGCAGCCAAGCACCAGCCACCGTGGCCACCACAGCCCTTCCCTGGTGGCTTCAAGCCCAGAGAAAACCAGGAACATACCTGCAGCACCTGCACCCCACACAGACCCAAGGGACACAGTCCAGATGTGGGCACAGTTGTGCAGGGCAGGAGGCAGGTGTCAGAGAATCATTAAGGTTGGAAAGACCAGTAAATCATCCAGTCCAACCACCAGTCCACACCTATGTCTGCTCTAGACCACATCCCTCAGTATGACTTCCATTGAACACCTCCAAGGATGGTGACTCCATTACATCCCTGTGCAGACTGCTCCCATACCTCACTGCTCTTTCTGAGAAGAATTTTTCCCTAATATCCAACCTGAAATGTGATCCAAGAGATTATCTCCCATCAGCAATGCCCATCCCAGTGCTACCACCAGCCCTGTTTCAGCTCTGCCTTGCAAGGGTTTCCCCCAGGCTTCAGCTTCCCACCTCCCTGCCTGCTGCCATCCCTTCCAAGCAGCTCTTTATTAAAAATGCTAATGCTGGCACTTTCTCTCCGGGCTGCTCATAAATCTGCAAGGAGAATGGGGCGGGGAGGAGGAGGCGGAGGGCTGGTTTGGTGAAAGGATCTGAAAGAAAGAGGAGCTTTTTATCTGGCCATCCTTCAGGCTCGCAGAGCTGAGGCACACAGCAGGGGATGGAAAAAGACAGAGGAGAAAAAAAGATAGGCAGAAAAAGTGGGGAAAAAAAAAAAAAAAAAAAGATGATGAAAAAAAGAGCAAAAAGAGTTTAAGCAGAAAAAGTGCTGTCCTTGTCACTTCCCTGTGTCCCCAGCTGCTCCACTGGATATGTGGGGATGGACGTGACTGGGTGCACAGCTCACAGGGGGAGAGATATCCCCCAAAAAATGGCACTACCTCAGAGGGTCTCAAGCCCTAGCAGAAAGGTGGGAAAGGGATGTATCCGCCCTCACGTAGTTGTCTGAGCCCACCTTGATGCAGTACCTACCAGGCTGACAGGTCTCAGTAATGAAACTCACAGAGTCATAGAGCCATCAAATCATTAAGATGGCAAAGACCACTAAGATCATCTAGTCCCACCATCAGCCCATGCCTGTGACCACTCAGACCATGTCACTCAGTGCCACAATTATCCTCTTCTGAAAAACCTCCAGGAATGGTGACTCCAACCCCCCCATGCCCCAGATTTCCCTATGCAATAGTGAAGAGCAACAATAGCAGAAAATGGAAAAGCACGTTGACCCCCTTAAATGCAGAGGATCTAAGATCTCATTGTGCTGCCTTGGGTAAGATGAACACATGGTGATGGGACAGCCATGGGACATCACATAATGAATCCACAGGCTCAAGAAGTATGAATGTGGGCAGGAAACAGCTTGCTAGCTGAAGGCACAATTAGCAATCTGATTTTGGGTAGTCATACCATGCCACAGCCACGGGAATTTGGTTCAAACAAAGTTGGCCGGATTGCTGGAAACCACTTCTCCTACCTGAGAAACGTTAGAGGAAAAGCCAAAAAAGCAGCTAATTAAAAATGTATAGCAGAGCAGAAAAGCAGACTGCTATCAAACAAACAGTGCAAAGCAGATTTGTTTAAAACAGCTGAAGAGCAGCACACAATGCAGGCGATCAAATTTATCTGCTGCACATGATCAAAAAGATCTCATTTTTGAAAAACTAGTGCTGACTTAGGGACCAGATGCGTTCGGTAAGAGATGCACTGGGAAGGTGGGGATCTCAGCATGGTATCCAAAATACATGCAGCACACAAAGCCTCACTGCTGTCACCAAAAAACTTCCAAAGCTCCCTGCTTTTCTGGTCATCCCATTCAGAAGCAATGGGATCCTAAGGGGCCAGACTCAGTGCCTGGATTGGGTCACAATATTGGAGGGGTTAGGAATGTATTAAACAAACACCTGCCAGAAGTGACTCAGATGCCATTGGTCCCCTTGGGATGCAGGATGGAGTAGCTGATTTCCAGCATCTCCAGAAAGATACTCGTTACACACCCAGCTTAAACCAAAATGCTTCACATGGCCACACTTTCCAGAAATCCTATCAACAGTGAAAGCTGCAGGCAGGGATGATGGAGTTACTGTTGGTTTCTGCTGCTACTGTTTTCCAAAACTAAAATCTGATGGGCACAAGGCAGAGGCACAAAATGATCCCTGTTTCACATGGCTTGAGAGAGAAGCTCTTGAAGGACAGTGAGGGAAACCCACAGCACTGAAGCCCTCTGGGAAGCACAGGGAGGAGCAGGAGAACCATGGATATCTCCAGTACGGTCTAGGGCTGAGGAAGAAAGACAAAGATCTGCTTGTTTTCCATGCCCCAGAGAGAAAAGAAGGTGTGAGATGCTGTGTATGATTTGTCACAGTATAACTTTGGTATCTCAGAAGAACCACAGAATGGCTGAGGTGGGAAGGGATCTCCAGAGGCTACCTGAGATGGTGCTAAAGACCCCTTTGAATTAAGCAGAGCAAACAACTTCTTAAAGGGCAGGAATGCATTTGTCTTCCCTGTCCTTGGCTTCTCTCCTGCTTGCTACCATCTGCACTTTTTTTTCCCCCAAAACTCAGCCTTTTCTCCCCTCTCCCTTTAGATGGAGCAGTTCATCCAGGAAGAAGCTAGAGAAGAGTAAGGTGCATGGAAGCAGTGAGGCTGCAGTCCCACACCCAGCAGCAACAAAAAGCAGAGCAGAAGGAAGCAAACACACCTACATATGTAATTACATGCGTTTACAAACATCTTTGATGGACAAAGTCACTTGCCCCTTCACTCTGTGAGCAAGGTATGGGTCTGGCACGCTGTGAGTGGCTGTTGGCTCCTTCCAACCCACCCTGAGACACCCAACATGGACAACCAACCTCCTCCCTATATGCCCCTGTCCTCATCACTCAGTGCTGCTCATGGGAAGAAGCAGGGGAAGACATGGGTAGCTTCAGACATCACCACAGGACACTTGTTCTCTGGGGATGAGACTGGGGACCCAACCATGCTGCTCCACATCCCCCATCTATGCATCCCATGAGGATCAAGCTGTCCCCAGCCCGGCTCTGCTCACACAGAAGGACAGCCACCTCATCTCCATGGCCAGTACAGGGATTAATTGCTAAATGGCTTTAAAATGAAAGAAGGGGAGAGGGGCTGGGGCTGAGCAGCAGGGCCCTGCTCAGAGGGAGGCAGAAGCACAGCAGGAATTCTGAGGCCAGCCTTTGATGGCTTTCTCTTCCTAATGCACTAATGACTTCAGAGAGGGTGTTGGGCACTGTGAGTGAAGGGGAAGAGGAAGAGGCTGGAGGTGCTGGTGCATGCACGTATGCAGATTTTTGATGTCTAGGGTGGATCAGAAGTTTTTCCTTTCATGCTTTCAGGAGCATAAAAATATTGAACAGGCATCTCCTGGTGCAGGATGCAGAAGGAGTACCCAGAAAGGGAAGAGGACCAGCTTCAATGCTCTCTGGGGGGTTGTTTACTCTGAAACCTAATGACTTCATCAACACCATTGTACCTCAGCTCTCCTTATTCTGAACAGCACAACCCTCCTCTCCTGCGGGGTGGCTGAAGAGCCCACACCCCTCTGACCTCAGGGCTCACTGAGCTGCTTTTAACTCTTTCACCAAAGGGGATTTCCCACAGCCCTGCCTTGCTGCTGCAGCCCAAACTGGGTGCAGCGCTGTGGGCACACTCACCCCTGGTTGGTCCCCCACTCATTCCGGATGCAGAGATGCTTATGGACAGGGTCTTTCATGTAGCCCTCATAGCAGAGACACTCACCTACAGAAAGAGGGTGCACATCAGGGACAGGGGGCCCTGCAGGACCCCCACCATCCCCCGCTTACCAGTCTCAGGGTCACACTGATGCTCGCAGGGGTCAAGGAGGCGGCGGGCACAGAGGTCCAGGGCCCAGGGGCCACTGGAGTTTTGCTGGGAGAAGAGGACGACCTGCGCCGGGTTCAGCCAGTCGCTGGCGTCCAGCTGGCTGCCCTCCAGCAAGATAAAGCGGCTCCCTGCCGCCCGGGGGGCAATCAGCAGCTGTCCCCTCCATCTCACAACAGCGCTCTCCATCCCATCACAGCACCCTCCATCCTGTGAGAGTTCCCTCCATCCCATGATAGTCACCTCCACACCATCATGGTGTCCCTTCATCCTATGATGGTTCCCTCTGCCCTGTGATTGTTCCCTCCATCCCACAACAGTGTCCTGTTAATCCACAATAGTCTCCTCCATTCCAGTACAGTGCCCTCCATCCTGCAATGGCCCCCTCCATTCCAAGAATCCCAGGCCCCCTCTGCCCCACAATGAACCCCTCTGTCCTACAAACCCACGTCCACCCCAGCCTGTATTCTCTAAACCATGTCAGCCCCCTCCACCCAGTGTCCAAGCCAGCCAAACCCACAATGGCCACTACTCATTCTTTTGTTGTGCTGGTGCCATCCATCTCACCCATCCCACATCCACCTCCTGCATCCCACGTCCATCTCCTCTATCCTATGACACCCAACTCCATCCTGTGCTTGTACCACCATGCCATGCCCATTCCCACCAAACCTTGCCCACACTCGTATCCTTCATCCCAGTTTTCCCCTCAATCTTGTACCCACTCCAGACCTGTTCCCTCCATCAACTCCCCTCTCCTCCATCACAGCTCCCACCCATGGCTGACATAGGTTGGCAACTGTAGGACTGTGGTCACTCACCATCAGCAATGAGGTGCTCAGGGACATGGAGGGTGATCTTGACAACAAGGGGGCAGCTCATATGGGAGGAACACACCAGGCTGATGATACAGCTTGTCACACTGATGAGGGTTAGAGTGGTCTTGTTCACGGGGCTGCGGGGGGACCCCACTGCAAAACACAAAAAGTGCATTCCAACCCCAAACCCAACATAAGAGACAAAGACAGTAGAAAACAGGGCAGAGGTGGGGGAAGCTCACTGCCCAACCTCCTGCATTCACCTCGGCTGCGCCTCCGGCTCCGAGAGGGGTCTGTGTAGAAGGTCAGCTGGGGATCAGTGTCTGCCTCTGTCCCCGAGTCCCCTTCGGGGTTCAGAAAGGCTGAGCCAGCTGTGGGTGACACCAAGCATGGTCACAGCCGTGGCAGCACCCAAACACATCCCATCCCATCCCCACACTGCCACAAAGGGCTGCCGGGTGGGTAGGCACAGAGCAGCACATCCTGTCCCATCCCATCCCATCATTGGTCACCTCGCGCCTTGTTGTTGATGCGCTTGCGTTGGCTGCTAGAGGTGTGGGACAGCAGGGTGGCCTGCTGGTGGTTGGAGTCCACAGGGCTGGTGGCGATGATGTTGTCCTTGTATTTGTTCATCAGGGACAGCTTTGCATTATCACTCCCTGGGCGGGAAGAATTGAAGGCAACATCTTTCAGGGAGAAAGACCAAAAGAAAAGAAAAACAACAGGGAGGTGAGAAAAAGATTTCCTTGGATCGATCCCCAGCATCCATACAAGGTGGCTGGGGCTGATGGACCAGTCTACTCCCAGTGCAGCTCCTCAAAGCCCTAAGAGGACCAGCACATCCACCAAGCCTGGTTAAATGTGGAGATTTAACATTCAAGGCACTCCTGCATAGCCAGGTCTGCAAAGAAGGCCCCAGAGAGTTTTAGGAAGCACACTGCACTGTCAACAGATGGGCTTCTGGAGAGCCACTAACATCTCACGTGTTCAGAAAAACGTGACAAAATACTCAAGGCAAAATATATATATATATATGCAGTGATGGGGAGAAGAGAAGATGGACATGGTTTGAGGGACAAGGATTCTTGGGCATGGTGGTGATGGGTTGATGGTTGGACTAGAGGACCTTAAGGTTGGATGAGATTACTAATGATTCTATGGACCTAGCTCAGCCCCATTGCTGCCCGACCTGGAGTGAGGTCCATGCTTGACTTCTCATTGCAGCCCTGCAGCGAGTCGAGGGTGCGGGTGACCTGGCTGGCAAAGTCCTCACCGCCATTCATACATTCCCGCTGGAGGTGGTGCCGCAAGTCGGTGATGTCGTACTCGTAGCCATCCAGGATCGGGGTCTCGCGGATGCTGAGGGTGCCGCTGGAGTTGTGGCCCTGCACACGGGCATTGCGCAGGCTCTCCCGCCCGTGCCCCCCAATCAGCACCGAGGGGATGTAGTGGATCTCATTGGCAGCTTCAGCACTGGCACTTTTCTGAGGTTGTGGCACACGGCGCCGCTTGCACCACCGCCGCCGGGTGTAGAGGATCATCACCAAGCAGAGGATGGAGAGCAGCAGCGCGATCATCCCTCCCTGTGGGCACAAAGCAGCAGGGCTCAGCAGGGACAGCAGAACAGCCCCGGGAAGCGGGCTGGGAGCAGCCTGACCACACCGACAAGAGCTCCTGGCACTGCAGGGTGAAGCCCGCCTCGAGCAGGGCTGGCTTTGAAGTCGCCACTGAGCCATAAAAAAGCAGCATTTAAAGCAGAGCGTGGCTTGTTTGTGCTCTCCTGCAACGTCTTTGAAAGCAGCAAGCGGGTTTATTATAGGCAAACACTCCTGCAGGCAACTTTTTCTGACCCATTTCCAGCCACTTTCAATGCTGTCACTCTCAATCTCGGTAGATTTTCTCAGGGCATCCTGTGGAAATTTCAGTGCAAATTAAGTGAGATGAAGGCTTGGGACAGCAACTGAAGCAAGGTTTGGGGGACGCAGAATGGAAGAACTCCCCGGAGCAGCCCTGAGTACACCCAGCCCCACCACCTCCCATCATACCCAAGGTCACCCAAGATGTCACCTCCGCAGCACGGATGGAGGCGGTGAGATGAAAGCTCCAGCTGGCTCCTTGGTCTGGTCTGCCAGGAATAATAACAACAACAACAATAATAGTGAAAAAAAGAGCACATGGAGCCAGCTGACAGCTGCCTGTCCGGCCGTGCCTCCGGTCCCCCTCTTCCTTTTCATGAAATAGGTGTTCTTGATAAAATAAAATAGTAGTCATAATCTGCTCCATTAGGACCAAACATTAAGGAAATTATTGAACGAGGAGCGGGAGATGGAGCTGGGAAAGGAGCCCTAATGGCCATTATGGCTTCGCCCTCTTCCATTCCCAGGATAATGGAGCTGCAGTGTATCCTCACTGCCCACCTCCCAAAATTTCTTTAAAAGCAAAAAGAGAAAGACAAAGGAGGAGACGCCAGCAGTGGAGGAGACCAGCAGCCTTGCAGACACATCTCTCCAGGCAGGAACCAAGACGATAAGTCTGTCACTGTGGATGAACAGTAGTATTGGATTCTCACCTGGGTGTGCTCTCCTGTCTCCTCTCCACGGGAGCACGGAAAACCTTCATCCTTCCCACTGGGACTTGGGCAAAGGACACATGGGGACCCAGAGCTAGGAGGGTTTCTCGCACGTTCCCCATGCAGAGCATTGTCATGATGGATAAAGCCCCTTGCTTACACTACACTCACCAACCAAATGGAATGACAGAAAATGAGCCTTGAAAACTACATGTGACTTTGACCCCAGGCACAAAAGCCAACCTCTGTTTGTCAAGACAAAGGATGCTGCTGGAGCTGAGTGATGGAAAAGCAAGGGAAAGGGAGGATGCAATCTGTACTTATACATTTTGGTGCAAGAATCGCAGGCATCCTTTTACCACTTCAATAATAAGACTCATTTCATATGCTCCTGCCTGGATCTGGGTATTCAGCAGTCATCAAAAAACCAGTCCACAGCAGCAGAGTGGACTGAGTGTGGGGCCAGCATCTCCCCAAGGCAATGCTCTCTCTTGGGGAAGGAACCAAAATGAGGAAACAGACCAAAAGTGGTTTGGGGTTGGCTTTGCTAGCGATTTTTTTTTTTTTCCTCAAGACTAATCAAGTGCAAATGATGGAGTAGAAGCCTGGCCTCCGGCATCAATCTGGAAGAGCTACGGCCTTCTCATTAGGGTAGGCACCATTAAACAGCCTGTTTGCAGCTGGCAACACATTGTCTCTGGCTAATTATCTCCCAATGGCTCAAAAATGGTCAGTCCTTCAGACTTTTCCAAGATTAGGAAAAATAAAAACACAGCCCCCACCACCACCTCTTCCCCCCCCAGCCCAGATCTCTGCTCTGCCCTCCTTTCTCTGCCATTAAATCTTCTCCCTGCGGTTCTGCACGGGGGACTCCCGCATGGAGCTGCACTGAGCAAAGCAGTGGTGACAGTGCCTGGTGGCACTGTGACACCACTGATGCAGGCACCCGAGCAAAGGGCTGCCAAGGGAGTCACCGTGAATTAACCCCGTATTAAGCTGGATGCAGCCTTCAAAGCCCAGGGTGAAGGATTCCTGCAGAAGCACTGGGGTACATTTAGGTGGTGGAGAGCATGAGTCATTTGGAGATGTGAGTTCTGGGACAAGTGTAATGCAGCCCAGTGCTCAAGCATCCTGTATAGCATCCTATCCGCCTCCGTCCCAAAGCAGGAGGAGAAGGGATGCACGTACCATGACGGAGATGTGCAGGATCCTCAGCTCCTCCTCGGCTGACTCGGTCTGGGGTTCCTCAGTGGGCTCGAAACCAGGCAGGTTGGGAGCCCCATCCTGGTGGTGGATGTGGAAGAGCAGAGTGCCATTCTCCAGCCACTGCTGCCGCCAGCGCACCAATGGGATGTCATCTGTGTTGCCTGAAATCTCTGTGAAAGCAAATGGGGTCATAAGAGGGCTACCAGGGGAGTATCCACCTCATCCAAAAAGTGGATGTAGGGTGCAGCCAGGGGGTGGTGTATCACCACGGATGGCCACCAGCATCCCTGAGGCTCTAATTCAGCCAGTTTTTGCCCATGTGCTTCACATTGCATGCAGTCCCAGCCGCAGGGAGCAGAGAATACGGAACAACTTCTCAGGAGCGCTAATGGGATCACTGGGGCTGTGCAGCTAATTACTGTAAACGGAAAATATAATGGCTGGAGAGATGCGCACGTGGCTGCAATCACACCTGCAGTGCTGGCTCCCACTGACGTACGCTCAGAGCTTTCATGTTTTTGCCCACACATTGCAGCTCCCCACACAGGACACAGCCCCAGTACCTGCACAGATACCTCTTTGTTTTGCCCAAGGACCCTGACTTTTCTAAGTGCCTTCAGCTAGAGGATCTTTGGCACTAGGGCAGATGGGCAGAGCTGAGCTGGGTAGCGATGGCATTGGATGAAACCCAAGCAAAGCAGCAGAGGCTGCATGCCTAACCAAGCCACATGTGCTCAACTGGTCCAAAACTGCATAGACATAAAATCATTAAGGATGGAAAAGACCACTAAGATCATTGGTTCCAACCCCAAGCCACCCCCACTGCCCACTATCCATGTCCCTCAGTGCCACATCTACAAGATTCTTTAGAACCATTTCAGAGATGAGGCTTAGCACAGTTGGGTGAGCACACAACCAGCACATCACCATGGCAGAGTTGGGCACCGCTTTAACCGCCTGCACACAGGAAGCCCTGATCTTGCAGCTCCAGTGTGCTATTTCTACTTCAGCTATTCACTTTTTTTCCTCTGAAAACGCAAACATTATTTACGTTTGCTGTCACGACTGTGAAAAGCACGAAGAGTTTCTCCCTTTCCATACGGGTCAGTCCGGTGTGGTCTCATTTATACTGTGTGTTTCGGTGGTGTTGGGAACCAGCCTGAGCTCACTTAGCAAATTGTCATCCTCATTTTGTTCGTCTCAAACCACCTTCAAATGAAAACTGGAATTCAATTATCGCGTCGAAAAACAACATTTTAAATTTACTGTTAATTAATTTCATTAGGCTGCCTTAAGTGAGCTAGCTACCAGACGGGGGGGGAAAATGCATCAAAAACCAAGTCCAGCCCTTCCAAAGTGATTTGATTAATCAAAAGAAACATTAACAAGTGAATTGGCAGGCGGTTTCTGCTCAGCACGGGCTGCATTTCTGATGGCAATCAGCGTGCTCTCACTGTCCCAAGCAGAGAGATGCTGAGCTCTCCTTGGGCTACTGAGAAGCAGAGCTAGGAGGAGTGCACACATCCCTGCAGCCAGAAGCACTTTTGAAATTCCCTCTAACCACTGAGCTGCATGTTTCAGCACAGGATCCCCTTTGAAAATCTGGTCCCAGGAGCTTGAAAGAGCTGATCTCCTCCTCTCCCACCTGGTCTTTATTCATGGGCTGAAAGGGGAAAACAAGCTTTCCAGCTTTCTCAACTCCCTGCGGCTTCCCAACTTCAAATGAACTAGCTCAAATTGAAGAAAATATTCTCCCCACACCTGCTTGCTAATGTGAAATTAAGAGTAATTAAGGCAAGAGCTTTTACGCACAACAGGAACTCAACGTCCTGACATTTTGAAAAATGTAAATACCAGCATTTCCCCCATTGTGAAGACTGGAAATAATAGATACTAAGTATACGACATTGTGACATTTAGAAAGCCGGAGTAAAAGATGTTTTCCCCTGATCTGACATATCATTGAAAAATCAGCACCCTTCAGCTCATTAATATTTCAGGAGGACTCCTTGATGGAAGTTATTTAAATGATTAATAGATTATAGTAAATTTAGGCCTTAAAATAGGTTGTCATAATTTCAAATTTATTTAAACAGGCTTCTTTCTAAAAAGAATAATGTATTTCAATGAAAAAGGGATTCTTTTTTTAAAAAGAGCACAACACGTGAGCTTCAGGGCTGACACGTGCGATCCTTCTCCCACCCACCACCCTCCCTCCCGCAGCTGCATCACATACAGGCCAGAGGTGCTAGAAACAGAGAAAACACCCCAGGAATCAGCCCCCATCACTCCAAACAAGTAGACCGCGATCTCTACATCACCACGAGAGGCAATGCTCCTCCACAACCTGGGTAGCAGAACTTCGTCCTTGGATTCCCTCCTCTTCTCCCTGATGGGTTTAGCAGCACTGCACCTGCCCCACCCCATTCCATTTCTACTTTAAAAACAGATCTACAAATATTTTCCTGTCCTGATGATGTTTCCCTGGAGCTTGGCTCAAGCATGGCCACGCTTCCTTGTCTCTTTCTCTCGCATCCCCCAGTCCAGTACTTCTCACTTTTACTTTTTTCCTACTCCTGAAGCAGACATCTCATTGCCTGATAGGACACACTGCTGTGACCTATGGGGATCGCTGCAACCATTTATTGGGGTGCTGATGGAGATCAAGTTCTACATTAGGACTGGTGGGTGTCAATCTCGTTGACCAGCCCAAAAACATGGTTCAGGAAACTCTGGAGGAGGTGGGGAAGGCAGAGAGAAAGCCAAAAAATGGCAGCAGGGAGAGGATAATTTCAAGTTCAAAGTTTGAAAGATATTGATGATAGGCCTTGTCCCTGCATGGCTTTCATTAAGGCCTGGATGTGAAGCCATTAGCACTAGTATTAACTTCTTGCACCTCTGTTAAAAAATAGCCTGCCTGGGTCAGGGGTTAATAACTGTAGGACACCACTAATTATGCTGCGCCATGTTTGCCTGGTATCAAGAGTGGTCCAGGTCTTTCCCATCCACGGGAGCAGCAGCCCCAAAGACCCCAGCAGATGTGTTCAATGTAGCCACTGTGGTGCTCCCCTCTCAGAGCATCTGTAAGCAAAAAGAGCAAGCCAAGGAGAGGAGAGCAGGAAAGTCTGGATGGTGTTGCTGGAGTGCTGGAGGCAGTGGAGTTATATCCACTGCATTATAGATCACCTGAACAACTTAATTTCTTGGGACAGCCACCCAGCCTGGAGCAAACCCTGCCTTTGGGCTGTGAGCACTGCTTTGCAGCAGGCCAGTACTGCGTGTGCACACAGAACCAATGCTCTCAAGCCCCTGCAAGTGTTGCCCCAACACTGACACACAGGCATCACCAAGACCCTGACATGTGCAGGGAGAGGAAAACGCACAAAAAGAAGAGCGCTCCCTAAAAACAAATGCAATCTTTTGAGCGGGGGAAGAAAAAAGGTAAAACATTTTTTGTTTCCATTTGGAAGCATTTTGTGCTAATAAATGCCTCTGATTAGGCAAATGAACTCTGCCATAATGCCAGTCTCTGCAGAATGCAGCTTTTGACTTGGACTTATACTTCCTCATTAACATTTAAACCTGGCTTATTTTCCATCGGAACCCAACTGTGTTTTTATTTAAGTTCCCCATTAGCTTGTGCATTTACTCTGTGCCTGAACCTTGCACGTCCTTTAAACAGCTCTACCCTAGCTGAAACAAGCCCTGGTCCAAAGGCCTCTAAAGCACTCAGTAACTCGGGAGCCCATCCCACAATGAGCAGTTGTGCTGGAACCTCAGGATGTGATTCATTGCAATTCAGATGTCAAAATGCATATCTTGATATTTAAGCAGTTTTTTACCTGAGATTTTACTGACACATCTTTCATGGGATAATACTCTCATTTTTTATTGGCCTGCTTAAACAAAAATCACATTCACCGCTGACTATTCATATTTTATTTGCAATTTTTTCCCCCTCTCCAGGCTCAGGCAGGGACGCTAGCTTGCTCTGTAGGTCACCCTGCCTTTCTAAGACAACCCAGATTTTCCATAGCAGCAAACAAGTCTCACCCTATCTGTTAGGTACCTGCGTCACAGGAGATGGCACTTGGTGCAAGATTACAAACAGATCCATAGAGCCAGGACAATCTGGAAGCTCAAGGAGGCAGCATCCAGCTATATCTGGAGGTGTTCCCCAGATGGGTCCAATGTCACCCCACCATTTTGCTTAACCTGGGGACAGTACACATGAAGCCATAAGCTACTGTAGCAAGGCTGACAGCTAACCAGGTTTCTCTTTGAAATGCTGGGTGCCTTTGCTTTTGGGAAGGTCATCAAGAACCTTTTCAAAGCTGTGCCCATGTTTTACCATGAAATAGGATTTTTATCCCAAATATGCTACAGCCCTAATTTGTCCCTTTCTTTAACAGCAAAGCCCTCCATCACTCCTGGAGTGACACTGTGTCACACCACTGTTTCCAGAGCAAAGGACACAGATTAATCATTAAAAAAAAAAAAACAAACAACAATTCACCTGGGTTTGCTCCACAGCTGTTGACCCTACAACATCACACATCTCATTTCTCTGCTCTTCTCTGCAGACACAAGGACATGCTCAACCACAACTGTGGAACATCCACTCCAAGGTTATTTACCACCATATCCATCAATTTTGACTGAAAGCTGCAATAAGCAAGTTGGGATACTTGTTGGTGTTTGGTTTTCACTTCTGTTTTATTAATAAGGTCCCATTGACCATAACTATGAGGTAGGAGATGCACGATGAGAACAAACCCATGTCTTGAACTAACACTCAGGAAAGCACCTCTGCTCTATGATCATGAGGAGAAAAAAAGAAGAAAAAAACAAACACAAAATTCCACACCCTGCACCATAACAGGAAAATACTTTCCAGCAATTTAAGAAATGCAACATTGATATTTATGCCCTGGAAAGGACCACATTTGTAGTAGGTATCCCATCCCAACACCCTGCAATGCCATCACGTCATCCCCTCCAGAGGGAAGCCCAGGTCTCCACAGAAAGAACCCAAATGATGGAGAAGCTCTCAGTTAGCCAAGAAAAACTACTGCTCTGGCTACACTGCTTCCCAGCAAAACCCAGTGCTATTTAATGTTTAACTGGAGTCACCATCCACCAGCTCCTCCTCTGCTTGTGTCTACAGGCC